AAACACTTTCCCAATTTATTAGGGCAAAAGTTGAGGAATAAAAAGTTCAGTTTCTTCAACTTTAAAATAATTTTTTTCTAACAGTTTTCCACCATGAATATTTTCTTTTCTTTCAACAAACAAGAAGCAAAATAACATCACCACCATAAAGTATTACACATTAAAAATACAGTACTGTCCATTATAAAGAATTGCACATCACCCTTTTATTTACATGATAAACTACCCCTGCCAATAATACCTTGCATACATACCATCCTATACGAGTTATTTGGCTATTTAGCTATGTCTAAATGCACAATAAATATAGGTATGTTTGATCTGATTATACTGTTAATAACTTTGAAATTTTGAAAAATGTGATTCAATGTATTTGGTATGTTATGACCGATGACAATGCTCCTTCAAACTATGAGAAAACACAAAAACATAGTTAATTTTGAGAATTTAACCAAATATTTAAATTTTGAGAAAAGTCACACATTAGTTAGTCCACATAGTTGATGTTAATCTTTTTAAAGCAACCTTGATTGTTAAATGTGAAATTGCCCATTCTCATGAGTTCTCCTTATGCAGAATTGTTTGATAGAAATTTATGTAGTAGTTGTTTCCTATATATGGCAAGACCCCTTTAAAGTAAGCATTCCAACCCTTAAAAAGTAAATTCTCATAGTATGCACATTAATGATAAAAACTATATCAATGTGCCTTCTCAGAAAGCCAATGGTGTGGTAACCCCATTTTTGTATCTCCAACATGCAGGATTGAACCTGGGACCTTTCACACACCATTAGGTATTAAGATACAATTTTACAACTCAAACTACAACAACAGACGATTTATACCACTTAAGACTCCTAGGTAAAATATCCATGCTTGAAACTTACCAATCCATAGTTAATGGTAACAAAAATTCAAAGCCCTACGTTTGCAATTCATATATAAGCCCATATGAGCATTTTACACATTTCTTTTGTTTATTAATGGCAGTATATCCTCATCTAGAATTGGAACATTGTGCAAAGCTGTTGTTATTCACCTACTAATATCATAGATACAACACAGTATGTATGTGTAGCAGTAAGAACACAAGACAAATATTTATTTTAATATCTTCACACATATATATATATGTGTGTGTTATGATCTATTTTACAAGTACATTCATACATTTCATATCATGCTTACTTGTGTAATTCCTTACAAGAAAACATGAGCACAGAGAAACGACAACTTGGAAAAATCAATGAAAAACACAAGGATATGTGAGGACATATACCACCAATATTTTGTCAATATGGCTTTATAATCCACTGTAAACTGATGATGTAAATATGCAAGTTGGAATGCAGATTTTTTTATCATTTCAAAACTGCACAAACAAGAAAATAACTGAAGCCACAAACTAATGAACTAAAGACACATTTTGAATACAGAATGTAGTTAAAGGATTATAAATATCATAAAACACATAACTTTAAAATTATTTTCACTTGTATATTTAATTATTTTGTTAGCACTTAGATTCCGGTACATTCAATAACACTTTCCTATGTTATTTCTCAAGATTATAATATGTATAAAAAAATTTATTTGAACTACAATAACATTTTCCCACTTATATCTTAACAATATACTTTAACAATTTTTGTTCTCCACCCAATTTCAAAATACATGATAAATAATCAAAGTAGTTTCAACCAATTTCAATCAAAATTTGTCAACCTTTCAAATAGTATTTTGAGACAAGTGATAGTTATTAGTTTACTAAGTGGTTTATGACCAATTTGTAAAATAGATGAACACAATGATGAGATTTTGGTAGTTTTCTACACATAGAATCAAACTTACCACTAGTAAATATTGGTTTATTAAAAACTTTGCTAGTAAAGTTTAGAGCATAAATTAGCATTTCCAAAGCACTTCAAAGTAACAATTGTAGAATACAGAGGTTTTATTAATAATACGAATTATTATATACACCTGGAAAAAAGTTAAGCACCCCCAAATATTTTTCAGGATTACTTATTGAAAATAA